AGGTTCGATTTACGGCAGGTCTATTTGGGCAATGAACTAAATTCATTTTGGGCTTAATGTTCTGATAAAGTTTATGTAGGTGCATATTTCAGTCTACGGAAAAACAAAAACACAATGGAAGTGCGTTATGCTTACCGATGTTGCTACTGCTAGACTAGTTTACTTTAGTTACTTCCATAGTATAATGTTCTACGGGATTCTCATGTGGGATAAAGCGGCAGATATACAAACCATATCTGTGTAGCAAAAACGAGCGGTTCGTTCTGTGTACCGTTTAGGTGCTCGGGTTTCTCTCAGAGAAAAGTTTAAGGAGACCGGTATCATTACTGTGACATCGCAGTACATTTACTCAAATATTTTATATGCTCGTAAAAATATACATAATTTCAATAAGAAAGAAGATATCCATAATATTAACCTTAGAGCTAAGTCCAAACTCATGGTACCACGATTTCGTTTAACCAAGGTAAACAACTGTTTTATGGGGAACTTTACTGTATACGTTTTTACAATAAGATTCCGGAGCATATATTAAGTTTAAATGATAAACGTTTAAAAACTACATTAAAAATATTTTGATCGAAAAATCATATTACAAAATTGAAAACTACGTGTTAGATAAAGATATATGGAAAGACGACATGGATCCAGAATCCACACAAATTTGATTCAAAGTGTATTCCATAGCATTTAAGTTTATTTGAAAAGAGCAATCCCTAGAGTTTGATCCCATGACTGTGACATCGCAGTACATTTACTTAAATGTCGTGTATGCCCGTAAAAATATATACAATTTCAAAGAAAGAAGATATTCATAAATTAACCTTAGAACTAAGTCCAAACTCATGGTATCACGATTTCGTTTAACTAAGATAAACGATTATTTTACGGGAAACTAACTTTATATGTTTTTACCATTGACATACAATTATATGGACGTCGGGTCCGCGCTAAAAAGTGTCCGAACTTATAGGGCGTTAAAATCGTATACAGAGCGTCATTCACGCTTTAGTCTTCGTTTGTTCGACTGACAGCGAAACAAGCAAAATTAGACAGTACTGCGATGACATTACAATTTAAATTCAACGTTTTAGCTTTTTCATATTCCTTTACATGTCACTACGTTTAAATAGGTTGACTTGGGACATTTTTTTCGTGGTTTTTGTATTAGACCCGTCGTCCATTTATTTGTAAGTCAATGGTTTTTATATATGATGGATAAATGTATTTTCACTTCTCATGCTCAAAAAGTGCACCTTTATGTCGTACGTAGACGACATAAAATCGCATTTTATGTTCTAGAGCATAAAAGTAATTTTTTTTTCTAAGACTAAGGTAATCAATCTCAACAGCCAAACAGTCACTACATATTGCACAATTTTACTGAGCAATCAAATTGTCACCTACGAGTATGCAGTCGTAGGTGACAAAAACTTATTATATTATTTTATTTTTGCTATAATTTATTAGAATCCCGTATTTTGTGTGATTACAATATTTAGTAAGTCACATAAAATAGGAGTCGATTATCGTTTAAAAACGCTCCAAAATATTTGGCTTGGCAGAAAACCAAGCGTCTGAAACTATGTTCACATATTAAAAATTTAAAAAAAAATTAAAAAGTTAGTTGGCGGGAATTAGTTATTCGTTCTTTCGCTTTTCGTGGTGTAAGTTAGCGTGAAAAATTTATTTTATACCTACATAAAATGTGTTTTATTTTCCTCACAATCGAAGTGAAAAGCAGAGTGTACATAAAATGGGCATAAATGTCCATTTTTACCCTCGTCGACTATTTTGGTCTTCGCTACGCTCAGACCAAAAAATGGCCTCGCATAAAAATGGGTCACTTTATGCCCTTGTTGTACAATCTACTATTGCACAGTGTAAGATTATATAATAAATAAATAAACAATATTCTTTTTAAAATACCGCTGGTACAAACAAAGAGAAAATGCTGAAGGAAACATTATTCATTCAATCATTGATTTTTGTCATCCGTGTACACAGAAGCTATATAATAAATAAACCTTTCGTGTAATTTTAGCTCCACAATATTTTGAAACCTTATAAATGGCAAACATTGAATATAAACCGGAATCAAATTTTAACGTAGTCTACAATTTTGTAATATGACTTTTCAATTAAAATACTTTGAATGTAAGTTTTAAACTTAGGAAATGATAATCTTAATATATTCTCCGTAATCTTATTGTAAAGACGTATACAGTTCCCTATAAAAGAATCGTTTACCTTATTAAACGAAATCGTGGTATGAATGAGTTTGGACTTAGTTCTAAGGTTAATATTACGGATATCTTCTTTCTTAACGAAATTATGTATATTTTTATTGGCGTCCACAGTCATGATACCAGTGTCCTTAAACTTTTCTCTGAGGGAAACCCGAGGACCTAAACGGTACACAGAACGAATCGCTCGTTTTTGCAACACAAATATGGTTTGTATATCTGCCGCTTTACCCCACATGAGAATCCCGTAGGACATTATACTATGGAAGTAACTAAAGTAAACTAGTCTAGCAGTAGCAACATCGGTAAGCTCACGTATTCTACGGACTGCGTATGCAGCAGAGCTTAATCTGCTGGCTAAGGAAGATATATGTATGTGGTACTATCACTGCGCCTGTCACCCTGAGACATAAGTTGACAAGTCCCATGTACCTGTAATTTCACCAGCACCTTGTCTTTCAACACCGAAACGCAGTAATAAGCACATAGGAAAATTCCTAAAGTCAGCTGGTTTGTTCCGTAGTTCAGTTGGGAAAGCGTCAGCCACGATATACTGAAGTCGCTGGTTGGAATCCAGCCGGATCGAATTTTTCTTAGTATTAATAATTTCAGTTTCAAATTTCAATTATATCGGTTGTGGAACAGGCGAGTACATCCGTTCGAAGATCGCACAACTTGAATGGATGCCAAGAAAGCTTCGGTTAGTTTCCCAACTTCGATAAGATCAATCATCCACCAACCAACATCTCATTAATTCAAATTCAAATTTAAATTCAAATTCAAATTCAAATTCAAATTCAAATTCAAATTCAAATTCAAAATAATCTTTATTTCATAGGTAAGCATTATTACACTTGAAATCGTCACAATGGTTAAACTCTACCGCTCATTCGTAAGGCAGATTCCCCTGAGAAGAATGAGCAAGAAACTCTAGGGGTTGCTCTTTGTAAATAACATTTACAATATTTTTTTTATTTTTTGTTTGAAACATCAGAGATCGAGACTACCTCCATGAGCTAAACGGGTTACTACCACGGATTTTTGTCATCCAAGTACGCAGAAGTTGTATAATAACCTTTAGTATAAAGTTTTTGTTTCACTATAGTTTTAAACCTCGTGAAAGGCAAATTTTGTATATCAACCGGAATCTTGTTATAGAAGCGTATACATTGCCCCTTAAATGATTTTTTGACTTTGTGAAGACGACTATCAAGAAAAGCTAGTTTATTTCTATTCCTCGTATTAATGTTATGTCTGTCACTATTTTTCATAAATAAATTACTATTCCTTTTAACATAAATTACATTTTCATAAATGTACTGTGAGGCTAATGTAAGAATGTTAATTTCCTTAAACTTATCTCTCAAAGATACTTTGGGGCCCAGATTGTAAATTGCCCTAACTGCACGTTTCTGCAGGACAAATATTCTATTGATATCGGCGGCATTACCCCAAAGCAAATAAACTAATAATTAAAAAAGAAAAAAAAAGCAAATAATTTCTACCAACCACCATGTTAGATTATTTGTAACGGATGTGACGGTGCCAACTTCCTTTATCGTCGTCCCACGTTTTTATTAACCTCTACTGGTATCGTGGTTACGTGGTTATTTTAGTAGCACTAGAGTTCCACCTTACCATTACTGCGTTCCGGTTTTGAGGGGTAAGAGAGCTTGCGCACTACGTCCGCTTCGTATCGAAGGCTGATTGATTTTGATTCAAATAGGAATCGACCCGATCGGGTAGTCTCGAAATCAGACGGGTTTCTGAGCGAGAAGATGAACCTGATTCCAACTATATCTTTCTAATTTGTGAGTTGTTGATTCGCAATTATGCGCCTCGACTTCGAAAAGACGCAGTTTCCGGTCGGGAGAGGCAATCAAAGCTGCAATTCCGAATCCGAGAAATGACTGTCCGAAATGTTACTGGGATCATTTTGTCTCTAGGTGTACAAGCGATATTGGTATTTTCTCGGACTTCAATAGGACTTAGTGCACTTAGGTCCGAGTTTTCTAGATTTTTATAGTCTCAAATTAGGAAATGCAGTGCGCATTAGGCACTAAGGTACAAAAAAGCAAAAACTCGACATATTTTTTTATAACGCGTACACACTTATAACCCCGCACTAGGGAAACCTTGTATCGCGGGTGCCATGAACAACCACAAATTACACCCAATCTCACGAAAGAAATAAATGTAGGCTGCACAAATATTTTGCCCGGGAATTGAACCCGGAACCTCTGCGTGGCAAACCAGCGTGATTATTAATTAAAAATGAAATACGTGAGATATCTGTTAGTTTAGTCTCAATATATCAGAGTCTCACAGTGGTTTCCTATTTAAGGTTTTCTATTTAAAATAACTCCACTAGTTTGTTTTAATTTTTAAATAAACATCGAACACCGTACCAAACGCTATACCAAGTCATCATCATCATGGTCAGCCAACATCAGCCCACTGCTGGACATAGGCTTCTGTTTTATTGCGCCAGTATTTTCGATCCAGCGCCATTCGCATCTAGCCCAATCCCGCAAATCTGACGATGTCGTCAGACCATAGGGGGTGGCCACCATTCCGTGACTGCTTGGTCCATCGTCCGTCTTCTCATCTAGCCAAACGTCCCGCCCCAGCTCAACCTCGTGATGAGATTACCCACGTCATCGACCTTCGTTTTAGCAATATACTGCTAAACCATTTGTTTCGCTAAATCTATACTATAGACTACAAGGTAAATAAATCAAACGCTGTATAAGAGGTAATTTTTATTCCCCACTTTTCCCATCAACTTTGGCCGTTGGTGGCTTGGTTGGTGGTACAGTAGTGTTTAGGGGTGGCGTATTTATATTCGTCTCTGCTCTCTCCACTCTTGGTGTCGTCGGATCCATTTGCAATACAGAAATTGAGCTAACCGATTTTGACATTCTGTTCTCCACTGCTGTTGTTCTCTCAAATGCGTCCGCCAGATGGGCTGTTGCTTGATTCCAGGTGTCGCTGCTACCTTGAATTTTTTCTAGAACACATTAGCACATTATCGTATGTACCTCCCATTAAACTGTACGGTAGTGGGTTGACTAGAGGGACACACTTTAGGTTAGGGATGACAGCGATGATATGAGCGTAGAGCCTTGCCAGTGCGAGGGAATATGCTGACTCGCAGGTTTGTGTATTGCACAGGTAAAGTAAAAGTGTCTTTATTTAAATAGTATTGTCAATCGATTTACTGTAGCGGCCCGGGGCTAGGCATAGAGTACAGAAATAGAGACGAAATAAGGACCATCCATCCCTGGCAACTCATCAGGTAAATGGGCCTTATATCATTTTTAAATATCAACTCTCGTTTGCGCTGAAATCACAAATTAAAAAACCGAAATAGTACAGCGCCAACAAATGACCTGACATTCCAAAAATATTCTGTATTGATTGTATTAGAGATAATGATATCTCTAACAATGGGGGCTGCTCCATTCGGTGGTGTGGGAAAAACAGCAAAATATCTAATTACAAAACAAACGGAATCATATTTCATCGGTAATGAAATATTAAATAAGTAATTTTGCAATTTTTGTCCATTATAGCAAAGCTCAAGTTAAACTGGTCAATTTGAAGTGAAACAATTGACGACTCCCGTCAATTGTTTCCAATTCGGTCTGGCCAATCGAAGCGCAGTTGTCACCGTAATGATTTGGCAAAATAGTTTTCAAACAAATTAAATCACATTTCGTCTATTCCTGGTTATATGCTCGATGGAGCAAGGTATACTTAAAAGGCTTTCAACGAGCTGCGCATCCTATGTAATCACATGTTCAGGGCGTTCTTATTTATTATTATTTATTTATAAGAAAATTCTTGCGGACTTTACAGTTTAACCAACACGCCTTGCAAGATGTTGGATTACAATATTAATTATAAAATAATAATTATATTAATAGTATATCGAGTTCTTAGGTTCTCGCGATTGTTACACATAGGAAATGAAACTATATTTCCGGATTTAAATCGCGTATATTTGTTTTTTCAAACAAACCGACGTTTCGGCGTTTCCGACGTTTCCTAATTTCAACACGGAAGATGGTTTCTCCGTACCACCAGTTTGGGATCCAGTATTTCCTCTAATGAAAAATCCCAAACAGACATAAGACTGCAGTACTAATTAATTAATATGCTTGGTTTATTGTAATTTATATTAATAATAAATTGAACTTAATAAAAATTCATTCAATAAAATAATTTGTAAAAATTAATGTATCGTAAATTGGAATGTTTTCTTTGTAAAATTAAAAATAAGGTATTTAATTAATAACTATTGTAACTATAGTGAA